GAGACCTTGGCAAAAGTGAGGTCTTCCGCAGTCAGCGTATCTTCCTTGTGATTTCATAGGTTGTGGTGAGACCAACGAGAAGAGCTGCTGCAGGGGCCTGTTCGGGGAAGACTATACCCAGCTCCTTGAGTTCGCCATGAATGGTCTGAACCTTGGCAATGTAGTCGGCCATTCCCGAGCAATCCTCAAGGCGGACCTGGAACATGCTGGGGATGAGGATGGCAACTCCGACTGCAGTCTTGTTCATAAACCGATTCTGGAGATACTTCCAGATGGCGTTGGAGGTAGGGTAGTTACGGAACGTGTTGACAATTTCTGGAGGGGTGGAGGCGATGAAGACGCTGATAATTGCAGCATCGGCCTTCTCCCACTTCCGGTACTTCTCAACGGCTTCCTCATATGCCTTTGTGTCTCACTAGCGGATTCGGTCGGCTCGCGAGGGAGAAGGGGCTGTTTTCCCTTGCCACGGTTGAGGAGGACATCCTTGAGGTCCAATTCCTGCACGTCACGGCTCAGCAGGTGCTTGTCAACCCCATAGCTCCATGCCTTGAAGTTGGAGCTAGAGCCATCGGCGTCAAGACGGAGTGGGGTGATGGGGTTGGCCATGGTGGACGAGGCGAATGCCATGATGGAGACCCCTTAGGGTGTCGCGCGGAGCGCCGCTCTTGAGTCAACGATAGGAACTTGAGGTTTGGGGTTTCCGAAGGAGATTTTGAAGAACCGGAGGTTTAGGGTTTACAAAAGAGAATTTTGAGGTTTAGGGTTTCTGAAGGAGAATTCGACTGAAACGCCAATTTAGTGTCAACTACCTACTAATCCTATTCCCACACACCCCCCCACACACCACCCTCAGCTTCTCGGCTGCACTGCTACTCGGCTTCGCGGCCACACGGCTGCTCGGCTTCGCGGCTACGCTGCTGCTCGGCTGCGCTGCTGCTCGGCTGCGCTGCTGCACCTGTTCAGCTGCGGGAAAGGGAGGGGGATGGGGGTAGGAGTGCAGATGCGGAGCGATGGGCAGCAGCCCAAAGGTGAAGCTGCAGGGCGACGGGCGGCGGCCCGACGAGAAGCTGCAGGGCGACGGGCGACAGCCCGACAAGGAGAAGGAATGATGCGATGATGTTCGACGAAAACGAGCGATAGGTTAAAGCGCCGACGATGCGCTTACCAGTGAGATAGTAGATGCCGTCGAGAGTGAAGGGAAAGTGGTGCGGAAGAATTTCCGCCCACGAATTTCGAGAATCAACGACGACGAGATTGAAGGCGGTTACGCCGAGGTTTGCGGGACGAACATCCGCATAGATAAGAGGATCACGATCCGCGTGTGCGGTTTGAAGGGCTCTGATACCATCTCATAACTTAGGCTTAGAAGCGATACATTAGTAATGAGCTTGAAGCTCTTTAAGTACATCCAAGAAGGGGAGGGAATGGATGGGGAAAGGAATCGGGGGCAATCCATAGGGATTGGGGGTAATCCCAAGGCAATCTCCAATTGGTGGGTTGGAGATTGCTTGGAGATTACATTTGGGTTTGGTTGGGATGTAGGTGTACACCCAACCAAACACAATGTGCAAACTACACTACTCTAGGATATAGAAAATACAAAGTACAAAGTGTGAGATTGAAGGCTAACACTAACACTGGGCCGGGCGGCACACACAGGTAACAGTCACCCTCAGCACGTCTCTGAGACGCCTAACGCTGAGCAAACCACTCACGAAGCTGCTGGGGCGTAAGAGTCTCACGTGGACGCCGCTGCAGCTGCATCGGGCCACCTCCAGAAACTCCCAACCGAGTAGCTGCACCGCGACTGCCACTACGGCCACTACGCTGAGACACCCAACACTGAGCAAACCACTCACGAAGCTGCTGGGGTGTAAGTGTCTCACGAGGACGCCGCTGCAGCTGCATCTGGCCACCGCCAGAACCTCCCAACTGAGTAGCTGCACTGCAACTGCCACTACGGCCACTACGCTGAGATGCCCAACGCTGAGCAAACCACTCACAAAGCTGCTGGGTGTAAGGGGCTGACGTGGACGCCACTGCAGCTGCATCTGGTCACCGCCAGAAACTTCCCACCGAACAGCTCCACAACGACTGCTACGACGGCCGCCACCACTCCCACTGCTGCCGCCACCGTCGCCACCACTCCCACCGCTGTCGTGAAGAGAAGTCATGCGACCAGCAGGGCAGCACGTAGGGAAGGAAGGGCGGCGAGGAGGCACTAGGGTAGGTCGGGGCGGTGCACGGTCAGGGAAGGGCGGCGCGCGGCCAGAGCAGGGCTGCACGCTGCTAGAGCAGGGCGCCGCGCGGCCAGAGGAGGGCGGCGTGCGGCCAGAGCAGGGCGGCGTGCGGCCAGAGCAGGGCGGCGTGCGGCCAGAGCAGGGCTGAGCGCGGCCAGAGCAGGGCGGCGCATGGCCAGAGCAGGGCGACGCGCGGCCAGAGCAGGGCGGCGCGCGGCCAGAGCAGGGCGGCGCGCGGCTAGAGCAGGGCGGCGTGTGGCCAGAGCAGGGCGGCGTGCGGCCAGAGCAGGGCGGCGCGCGGCCAGTAGCAGGCAGTAGCTCCTAGGGCAGAAGCACCAATGGCTTTTTTTTTTAACTAATTAATTTATTTATTTATTTTAGGGTTTAGCAGGGCGCACAAGGCGCTGCAGAGGCGGCTCGGGCAGGGCAGGGCAGGGCGCCAGCATGCGCAGGGCAGGGCGCTGGTGCGTTGGCTGGGCAGGGCGCTGGCGCGGGCAGCAGCGCGCACGGGCAGGGCGGCGCTGGGCAGCGAGTGCAGGCCCGCAGCGGGTGCAAAACGCAGGCACGGCGGACGCAAGGGGCGGGCCCGCGGCGGGCGTAGCGGACAGGTGCGGGAGGGGCGAACGGGCGGGCCCATGACGGGCCGAACGGGTAGGCACGGCGGCGCAAAGGCAGGGCCCGCGGCGAGCCTAACGGGCGGGCGCGGCAGCGGGCGTAACGGGCAGGCGCGGCGGCGCGAAGGGAGGGCCCGCGGCGAGCCTAACGGGCAGGCGGTAGGGCGCGACGCGCAGGGCAGCAGGGCGCTACGCGCGGGGCAGCAAAACGCAACGCGCGGGCTGCAGCAAGGCGCGACGCGCAGGGCAGCAGGGCACGGGGCAGGGCAGGGCGTGCGCGAGGCAGCGCGACACGGGGCAGGGCAGGGCATGCGCGATGCAGCGCAACGCGGGGCAGGGCAGGGCATGCGCGGGGCAGCGCGATGCGGGGCAGGGCAGGGCGTGTGCGAGGCAGCGCGACGCGGGGCAGGGCAGGGCGTGCGCGAGGCAGCGCGACGCGGGGCAGGGCAGGGCGTGCGCGGGGCAGCGCGACGTAGGACTGGGCGTACACGGGCAGTGTGACGCAAGGCAGGGCAGGGCAGGGCGCACGCTGACGGCACATCGCAGGGCAGGGCATGGGGTAACGCGGTAACTACAGTCGGTCACTAAGTAATGGTGGGCCCGAAAAATACGGTCCTAGGCTAGGACCTGCTCTGATACCATGTCAGAAGAATGAACGAGGAATGAATGAACTAGCAGCAGGATGGGTACAAGTAGGAAACCCTAATTGGGTTGTACCCCATATGGGCTACCCCACTACAGCCTATACAATAAGCAGCATATAAGTTTGACATGTTGCCCTCGCCTTCTTCATCGGGCGACTCCCGACGCGCTTCACCTCGCGTCTGACGTAGCTCGGTGTGTTTTTCACGTAACTTTGTCACCTTTGCTGAGAGATTCTGCACTGTTGCTTATGTTTCTGCCATTTGCGCCAACATCTTGTTTAACGTTTCCTCGTCCATGAGTCGCACGCTTCGTCTGGTGGGCAGAGGGGTATCTGTGGCCTTCAGGCGAGTGGAAAGCAAAAACTATTGGAGTCGGATAGGTTAAAATTAAAGAACCTTGCAGCCAAGTGATTTGCAATCCATTGTATCAGCGAGGTGAACTAGGAAAGTAGCTCTGATACCATGTGTTATGAGTTGTAAAAGGATAAGGAGGCTGTGACTCAATGAAATGACAATACAATGAAGGCACGCACTAATATAGTGACTACCCTAGCTAGGAGGGAACCTTGGGACAACAAGTTTGGATGCAGGTTTGGCGATCGGAAAGCCGAAGGCGACGCGCATCGGAAATGTAGGCCAAACGTGCGAAGTCCGAAATGTCGGGGTTGTACGCGTAGCAGTCAACCGTGGTAAGGAATAAGGAAAATTCCTTACCTTTGCGATGACACATGCGACAACCTTTGTTCTTTATAAAATGTAGATGTTGGTTTCCGCAATTCGGTTACTGTATCCTGAACTTAGCGAAATGCTCAATTTAGTCACTCACGGGCTAAAACGTTCGCGAGTGACTGATATTCTGATTGTGCTGACCTTTGGACATGGGATAAGGTGAGCAACGACTGTGCAAGTTTCGCAACGCTTCACGGTGCAGTGTTACAGGAGGTGCCTCGCACCTCCTGTCGCATCCGTGTCCTGTCAAACGTCTGGACTTCGGGCTGGGGGTACAGTTTTATTCTCCTGTACAGGTGCACGGCAAACCTGAACATCAGTTCGGGAGGAAAAATAGAGTTTTGTATACACCTTATTATTCTTTACAATGGACGGTGGGGGGGTGAGCAGGGGAGAAGACGACGGTGAGGAGGACGCGAGGGGAGGACGGGGCCGAAGGGAGGTGGAGGGCGGGGGTGAGGGCGAGGGCGAGCGGGAGGGCAAGGGGAAGGGCGACGAGAAGGCGGGATAGAGGCGTGGGTGATGCTAAGGCGGAGGTCGATGGTGAGGGCGAGGGCTCGGGGAGGGGGGGGGGGGGGAGGGGGAGGGCGGGGGGGAGGGGAGGGGGAGAACGAAGCTATCGCAGACATTTCTCGCGGTCGCGTTGCTTGCCTCCGTCACCGGCATCACCGCGCTCTACGGCCACTTGCCTCTCGCCTTCAAATTTAAAGTCCTCCGTACGCAACGTTGCTTCTTTTCTTATCCTCTGAACTTAACTGCCACGAGCCGTTCCGATGCCACAACGTCTCTGTTGCAGCCTCCTTATCCTCTCGCCTCTTGCCTCTTCCCCCTAAACCTCTTATCCTTTTTACTCCATCGTAACTTTTCCCTGTGAGCTCATATCTCTCCCCTTCCCCCATGTGATTGAGTCGGGCGAGGTCGTTTGGTCGAGTTATTCGCGTCTTGGTGCAACAACCTCGCGCCCGTGTGGGAGAAAGTCGTGACGGCGCTAAAGGGAATCGTGACTGCTGCCGCGGTGGACTACGACGCGAACCCGTCCCTCGCGCAAGAGTACGGCGTGCAGGGCATTCCCACCATTAAGGTGTTCGCGCCGCACCTCAAGACGCCCGCGGACTACGAGGGCCAGCTTGACACCAAGGCTATCGTGGACTTCGCGCTCTCGCAGGTTTGGTACGGGCGCGAGAGTTGTGTGCACGAGTTTCGTGCATACGAGAGTTGCGAGCGTCGGAGACGAACAAGAAAGAGTGTGGCGGTGGCGTGAGAATCGTTGAGCCGTTTCACTTCGCATGATTAAGAAGCCATTCAAAATTGGCATATCAGTCCTTGGCAGGAACTATTGAGTATACTCAGAAGACACGAGCACACATAACCGCCAATCCCTTACTAGCGCAACCCTCGTTCTTGGCCATGGAAAAACTTTCCTGAGTGTCTAATTGCGAGTTCCACATATGCCTCTCGCTCTGTCTTGCATCAATCTTTCTCCCCACGTTAGGTGAAATCGCTGGTCAGCGCGAGGCTGGGCGGCAAGGTGGGCGGCGGCGGCGGCAGTCCCAGTCAGTCGGTTCATGAAGGTGTGTCGTTTTCCAACATTTCCATGTCCAAACTCTGCCATCTCTCCTGCTCCCTCCCCATGATCCCATGTTGGCCCCCCTCCCCCAACCCTCCCCTTTCTCCCCCCACCCTCTCACCCCGTGTCTCACATGCATCCGCAGGTATGTGTGGGCAGAGGCAGGGGCACAACCAGCTTTGAGGCGCCCCAAAATTCCCTTCCTTCCCCGCCCTCCTCGTCTCTCCCCCCACCCTCTGACCCTGTGTCTCACATGCGTTCGCAGGTATGTGTGGGCGGAGGCAGGGGCACAGCCGGCTCTGGAGAAGGCTCTAGGCATGGGCGGTTATGGATACCCGGCTCTCATCGCCCTCAACGCCAAGAGGCAGCGGTTCAGCCCTTTCAAAAGCGCCTTCGAGCAGGAGCACCTGAGGTGAGCAGGGCAGAGGGCCCCAGGTGAGCAGAGCAGAGGGCCCCAGGTGAGTAGTGCGGTTCAGGTTATCAGTGCACTAGGAGCAGGGCGCTTGTGCAGATTCAATTTAATTAGTGGTCTGTTTTATCTCTGCCTACACACACCAAGGCTGCCGTGGCAGCTTCTCTTGAGTTCCACAGTGCCCTTCTGATGCTTGCTTCCTGCCTCACTTCAGCAAAGGAATCCAGCTACTGGTCCGCTCGCTGAGTCTCCGTTCACCTCCTCTCCTCTCTCCTTCCTGATCTCTCCTATCCCCAACCTTCAACAGTGAGTTTGTGCGTCTGGCAGCCCGGGGTGGGCGGGGCATAGAGCCCGTGGAGAGCATTCCAGAGGCGGAGAGCAGGGAGCCATGGGACGGCAAGGATGGGCAGGTGGTGGAGGAGGAGTTTAGCCTGGAGGACCTTATGGGAGATGACTCACCGGCCGCTGCTGCTGCTGCTGCTGACGAGCTCTAGGGGCACTGGATGCTGGGTTTTTGAGGCGCCTCAAAAGATGGCAAGGATGGGCAGGTGGTGGAGGAGGAGTTTAGCCTGGAGGACCTTATGGGGGATGACTCGCCTGCTCCTGCTGCTACTGATGACGAGCTCTAAGGGCAGTGGATATTCAGTTTTGGGGAATGTTTTGAACTGGAATGTTCTTGCTGTAGCAAAACATACGAGGAGCCTGATACTATCAAATTTTGGTTTCACAATGTAAAACTTGTCAATTGGATAGCGTGAGAAAAAGGGCTGACGTTTCATTTTGGGCCTCCCTGATTTCGGGAAAAAAATTCCCCCTGTATTATGAGGGCAAATTTTTCAGAGGTTTGCTACTCAGATTGGTCAGTGTCCAACAACGTCTCACTCTGATTTGTCAGGGTTCAGAGCAAGAAATCAGTGTTGCAGTCAATCACACAAATTTCTCCCACTCGGATTATACATTTCTCACGCCTCACTTCCTGGCCGGTCAAAGTCAACAGAAATTGATATTGCGTGGTGTCTGCGACCCTCAGCACATGCGAAAGTATAGTGCACGTTCACCGTCAACCACAGTTTGCAGACGGTGAGCGAAACACCTCGAAACAACCCCCAAAAAAATTGGCGCCAAGAAAGGCGACAAAACAGCACATCGCACGAACTGGCGATGGTGTAGTGTAACCCATTAGGAGAATTCCGCACGCATTGCAATCTGCAAACATTCACGCCGTTCCTCTCAACTTCTCAACTCCAGCCACCGCCATGAATGTCGTTCGATTGCTTTCGCGTGGGCGAATCTGAAGGCACATAAGATACGCCCTGTCTGAGCAAATTCGCACAAGAAATTTGCCCTGTCAAGGACAAGAGATTTCCTCTGACACAGCAGATCTGTGTCAGAGGTCCACTGGTGATCCCCGATTGATCCTAGGGAAGGGTTACAGGCACGTTGGCCTGGGGGGTTATGGGCGCACTGACCCGCTACTTAACAAGCCCTTTTATCCCAATGGTCTAGTGGTTGGGATTCTGACATGGTATCAGAGCGAAGGTCTCGGGTTCGAATCCCGGTGTGTGAACCTCGGGCATACCAGTGCGGGGGGGTGTCAGAGGTCCACTGGTGATCCCCGATTGATCCTAGGAAAGTGTTACAGGCACGTTGGTCTGGGGGGTTATGGGCGCACTTACCCGCTACACAAACAAGCCCTTTTATCCCAATGGTCTAGTGGTTGGGATTCTGACAATCTGCTGTGACAGAGGCGTTCTGCCGAAAATCCCCGCAACATGCTGCGCCTCGCACGATACTGTCAGAAACAAGAAGTGTGTGAACTATGAAAAGTTGGAGTACAAGTAGCAAACCCTAGTTTTGTGTACCCACTAAAGGCTAACCCACTATAGCCTACACAACAACAACACATATAGTGTTTGACACACCCCCATAGGCAAAGTGGGGGAGAGCAAGGGGTCACAAGACCAGTCAGGAAAGGCAAGCAAGCTCAGGGTGGATCACAACGTCACCACACATTCCGAGCACAAGCAAAGGGCCACATGGCCAGTTCACATGCAGAAGTATATATGTAGTACAAACAGCAAGGGTGATCTCAGCCTAGCAGAACAAACAGGCAGGAGTATATATAGAGATCACAGTACAGGCAAAGCCTACAACAAGTGAGGAAAAGTGGGCACCAGCCCCAGCAAAGTACAGAAGCGCTGATGATCACCAGGCTGAAGTGCCTTGGTGAATATATCAGCAGTGTTGGCCTGAGAGGCCACGTAACGCAGACGAAGCTGACCACGCTGCTGCAGCTCTCGAGCAAGGAAGTAACGGAGAGCGATGTGCTTCGTTCTGTGCTCCAGTCTATGCTCCTCACACAAGGCAATGGCAGCCTTGTTGTCGACGTACAGCACTGGAGGAGAACTAGGCCTCTCTCCAAGGTCGGTCAGCAGGTAGGTGAGCCAGCGTAACTCCTGTGCAGCCATGGCTGTGGCGTAGATCTCAGCCTCACAACTGGAGCTGAGAACTGAAGACGAACGCGTAGAGCGCCACGAAACTGAACCAGAACCAAGGCTGAAGGTGTAACCCTGTGACGACCGCTGAGTAGCCTGGTCGTCAACCCAAGAAGCGTCTGAGTGCCCAGTGAGAACAACTGAGCTCCCTCCTCCAAGCACGAGCCCCATGCCCGATGTACTGCACAAGTAGCGCAATACCCTCTTTGCAGCATCCCAGTGCACCTTTCGGTGCCTGCCAGGAGCTACGTAGCGGGCCAGAAGGCCAAGAGGGTATGCTAGGTCAGGACGAGTGCAAGTCATCAGGTACATGAGGCAACCAACTAGCTCTGGGTAAGGACCACTCGACTCTACGGACTCATCCGAAGGCAGAGCTGAGAGCGAGTGACCTACAGCCAGAGGAGTGGCTTGTGCTGAGGACCAGGTGAAGCCGAAGCGCTGAAGGACCTGCTGCACCATGTGTGACTGAGTCAGGGTAATGGTGCGGCGTGCTCTGTCCCGGGTGATCTGCAAGCCAAGGTAGCTGCGCAGTTCACCCAGGTCTGTGCACGTGTGTCTCTTCTGCAGCTCCGACTTCACGTGGGCGAGAGACTCAGTGTCAGCAGTGGCAAAGACCAAGTCGTCGACGTACACGAGGATGTAGAACGGCGGCAGCGAAGTGTCGGTGCGCAGAAATAGCGACGGGTCAGCAGTAGAAGGAGAGAACCCAAGTGCCGCAAGAGTAGTCCTCAGTGTGTCGTGCCACTCACGTGGCGCCTGGCGGAGACCGTAGACCGGCCGCCGGAGGCTCCACTGGGTACCAGGAGGAAACGACCCAATGAAGCCAGGAGGGCGGCGCAGCCAGATCTCCTCGTGCAGACTGCCCTGCAAGAAAGCTGTGCTGAAGTCAAGAGAGTGAAGCTCGTAGTCACGCTGAGCAGCAACGTGCAGTAGTACCCGAAGAGTGGTCATCTTCGGGGTGGGGGAGAAGGTCTGAAAGAAGTCTACTCCCTCTCGCTGACTGAAGCCTCGAGCGACGTAACGAGCCTTGAAGACAGGCGGAGAACCCGGCGGCCGCTTCACCCTGAAAATCCACATGCCACTGACGATGTTCGCCCCTGGTGGGGGAACCTGTGGACTTCCAGGAAGCCATCTCTGCGTCCATGGCTGACTGCCACTGTGAGGAGTAGGGACCCTCGATCGCCTCAGCGTACGATCGAGGAGTCGGGATGTCTGGTGCATCCGGGTCTCCCTCAGGGGCAATCAGCATGGACACGAGATGGGGCGCAGCGGCTGCAAGACACTCAAGGTCCTCCTGTCTGTCCTCAAGGACGTCCGTGCTAAGAGCACACTCACCCCCGACGGACGGAGGACAGACAGACTCAGACTCAGCAACAAGACTGGCAGCGTAGTCTAGACGACAGCGAGCAGCAAAGTCGACAAGCTCAGCAACTAGGGCAGACGCAGCAGCCGACTCAAAAGAAGGGTCAGTGACAGCAGTGGCCAGGAGACGCATGACAGTAGGACTGGCAGCACGAACGGAGTCAGACTCCGGGTCAGCAAGGGTAGGAAGAGAGGACGGAGGAGGAGACGGCAGAGGGACACACTGTGGAGCAGTGGAGGGACGCAGTGACATCCGGTGTGTGCCAGGGACAGGTGGCGGACGCTCACGTGGTACACGGCGACTAGCGCAAGCAGTACGAACAGGTGACACAGGACGGGACACAGGTGACACAGGACGAGACTCAGGCTCACGACGCTCTGTAAGCCTGCCTGTCGGACCAGTGTAGGGAGAAGGACCAGGAAGCGGCGAGGCAGGCGGTAGCTGTGACTGCGACTGGACAGGCGGAGGACACTCTACGGAGGGAGGAGGACTAGGAGGAGGCGGCTGACCAAGAACCTGCTGAAGGAGCGGAACGAAGTACGGCCGCGGCCGTGAAGTGCCCCCAGCAGCAGCAGAGACAGCACCAGAACCTCCAGCAGCTCCAGCAGAACCTCCAGCAGCTCCAGCAGCACCTCCAGCACCTCCAGCAGTACCTCCAGCAGCTCCAGTACCTCCAGCAGCTCCAGCAGCACCTCCAGCACCTCCAGCAGTACCTCCAGCAGCTTCAACACCTCCAGCAGCACCAGCAGCACCAGCAGCACCAGCAGCACAAGCAGGAGCTCCAGGACCTCCAACAGCAGTAGGGTCTCTAGCGGGCTGCACCTCAACACCGGGAGCTCCACTCCGGAGGCTGCAGCGCCGAGCGTACCACTCACGCAGCCGCTGAGGGGAGGGAGGCTCCGGCTGCGACACGGCACCCGCAGGACCACTAGTCCCAACTCCATTAGACCCCCCAGCTCCAGTAGCCCCACGACGGAGGCTGTAACGCTAAGAGTACCACTCACGCAGCTGCTGTGAAGAAGGAGCGCCAGCAGGCGCAGTACGGTCAGTCTCAAAGCCCCCAGCCTCAGCACCTCTAGGCGCAACACCCCCAGTCGCAGTACCTCCAGGCTCAGCACCCGCAGTCTCCGCACCCCCAGTCTCAGCACCCCCAGTCTCAGCACCCTCAGTCCCAGCACCCCCAGGCTCAGCGCCCCCAGAACCAGCACCCCCAGGCTCAGCGCCCCCAGACCCAGCACCTCGCACAGGACCAGAGTCAACAGCTACCTCGACAGGCTCGACCGGGTCTACCTGGGAAACACCTGAGGGAGCAGGACCCTGGGGAGGGAGGGGGTCTACCGAAGCAGCACCTGGCGTGAGGAAGAGCGGCGGAGGGGGGAGCGGGGCAGTGCGGTAGGGGAAGAGACGGTAAAAGGGTACCGACTCGTCAAAGGTGACGTCCTGAGAGGCGAAGACCCGGCGCGAGGTGGGGTGGTAAAACTGCCAGCCAGGCGCGTCAGGGACAAAGCCAAGGAAGACACAGGGAACGGCACGGGAGGAAAGCTTGTCCGCGGACGTATCGCGGACAAAGGCTCGACATCCCCAGACTCGGAACACCGACGCATCGCCAACCTCCCCCGTCCAACGCAGGGTAGGC